AGAGTTTCTTGCTGTGCTACTACATTTAGTATACATCCCTCTTAGATTATGCCTTAAGTAAATAAGTAGCTTAAATAGTTGCTAGAACCCCACCCTCCTCACAGACCCCTTTCTGATTCAATAAAATTATCATCTTCTCTTTCCAATGGTGCTCATATACAGCTTTTAAAAAAATTACTACGTGTGCTAGTTGGTACCTTTCTCTGTCTTTGCCTAAGTTTGTCAATGTCACTACCATGCCTTACAGAGGCTAATTTCCCCAAAGCAGAGAATAATTTAAAACAATCCATTAAAGTACCTTCCATGCAGAAGCACTGAGAAAATAATATCTATGGAGCAAATATATCTACATAAATATACTCCTTGTTCCTAATCTGCACTAAATCATGAGTGTTACATTAAGGAGCAAATGTTAATAACACTATAAGAAAAATAACATGTCTTCTGAATGAAATTCTACGTATGGAAAAGATACATTCCTTCTTTACATAAAATGACAAGAATTCCTGTTCCCCAAGAAAGTCAAATCCAAAGTAGATGATTGTTGGTGCCAATTTAGTCACCTTTCAATTGAAAAAAACACCCTAATTTTTCAAAAGGAAGTGATACAAACAATTTGATCACTTAAGCTTATTTGTAGTTCCTGCCAGAAAATTATTTCCAATCTCTCTCTCAAGACAGTTGAACTCAAAATTCTGACATTTTCTTTATTTAATAAAGACAAATTTCAACCTCAGCTCTGGGTCCTATGATGGGCAAAAAGAATTACTAAAGAGCATTGTACCTGTCAAAACATCTCTGCCTTATCAAATACATTCTCCTTTACAGCATTAAACTTTTATACTGACTAGACTTTATATAATCACTACATTTTCCTCTACTATAGGATTGTATACAAAACATTGGTTTTGCTTTTTATACCTAAAAGAATGTATTTTATTTTCTATCCTCAAGACGGCTGAGTCATCACGACAGAAATTAGAAGTCAGAGAATGCCTCTTGAAGAAATGATTTATAGTAAACAGGAAAGGGTAGAGCAGTTGATTGTGGAATGGGTTGAGAAAAGGCTATCTTAAAAATTTAATTATTTTAGGAATCATAATAATACAAAATTGGTTGGAGCTAAATCACAGAGATGTTTAAAGACCAGCAAAATGGGGCCTATTGGTTAACTCTGAAAAATCATAATCATTTTATCTGACCCAGAGAGATTAAAGATTACTGGAAGAATGTAATGTAGGGAGCTGAGTCCTAGAAAAATAACTGTCTTAGTCATGTGGATATTTTGAATGAGTCTCAGAGTTGGAAAAGATGTAAGAAAAAAATTGGAATGACTGGGTGTGACATGGACTAGGAAAATTAATAATAAAGTTAATAACAGGGGCCCTAAAGCATTCAGGGTTTTTTGTTATATTTCAGTGGGCAAAAAAGTAGAGAAGGTCTGCAGACTCAAACAACTGCAGATTATTTCCAGGCCCTGCAAGGGGACAGATAGGAGCTGAGAAATGACTTATTTTTGAATAATAGACGGAGGAAAAATTAGAACAATTACTGGCCTACTTTTCTGCCTATGGCTTTTTCCAATAACTCATTTGTCTTTATTTACCTTGAAAGGAGTTTATGTTTTAAAATATAAAAACTACAAGAGGATTGGATGCAATTTCCAACTGAAGGTTAGTTTCAAATGCTAATTTATGAGTATTTGGTTTTCTCCAAAAACATTTTTATAAGATTAATTTTAAAAATTAATTTGAAGGTCTAGAAGATATCTCCAAATAGCCAGAAGTACTATCAGGATAATTTGTGATATAGCTACTTATTTCACTGACTCACAGGAGTTCATGTATTTACTGGAAATAACATTGACACTGTGTTATATTCAATTTTTACTGTCAGTAGAAAATTTGGTATTTGATTTTACAAATAATGAAGTTGGTGAGCAAAAGAATACAAGGATTTCCTTATATTTTTACTACTAACAATATATAAATTTTGTATTTCCATCTCCCTCAAATATTTTAATAAAAATCAATCTAAATGAATCCATTTATACATTGCACCAAAATTGCAATGTATAAATCGTCCCTCATAAATAATCTTTAATATATGCCACTAAAGCTTAATAATCTTGTCAGCTTTTTTTCCCTGTTCATTTCCCTCTCTGGGACTGAGTTTCTATACCACTTCTACAAATTGTCTAGAATCATAAATATATGGCCACTCCTATTCTTATACACTTAATGATTCTTTTTCTGTTTAGTGAAGAGAAAAATATCCTAGAAAGTACATAAAGAATGCACCTTACTTAAACAGAGTTATAACTATTTATGATTGTGACCAGCAGAAAGCATATACTATATGTTTTCAATGTTAAGGATGATGAAACTGTCTCATTAGGAGCATCCTCTGAAGAACTCCCACAGTGTTGCAGTTGTTCAAGACTCTCGTTCATTCTTTGGTACTGCCTTTACAACACTACATATTACACAACACTAAATGAGGTTTAGCCTCTCAAAGCTACAGCCTAAATTAGCAGGTGACTTTTAAATATTACTGCATTACTGCAGGATGAAAAATATTTTTAAAATGTCCTTTGTTAAACTTTACTTGGGGAAAAGGGCAAAGAGAGAAAAATTAAGGTAACAGTGTAAGTTACAAGTTGAGGAAATGTTGTTTGTTTCATGCAACTATTTTTTTAAATCTCATTTTCTGATAATATCTCAAATCAAATACATATGAATATTAAGGAAATTTCAGCAGGAAGTAGTTTGGGATTTGAAATATCATTCATTCTCTTCCAGTCATATGTGTATACGATACACAAACTCTATCCTGGCTACCCAATTCATCTTTTCAAATAGCTCTAAAATGCGTCACCAACAGGTATGAAACAAGGTATTCGACTTATGTATTAAAAAAAAATTCAAATCACAGCTAACAATGTTAACCTAACTTCAAAGAAGCCACATTTTAGGCTGGAAAGATTTTTAAAGGACTGGTGTACTGAACAACTAATAATGTGTGTCAGAATATTTGCATCATATATTCTACTTGCTTCAGTGGACCTAAACTATGGAGAGAGGGGAAACTGCAAGAATGTAACTGGGAGGGTGGGAGGTGGAGACTGAGTATGCAGCACTCACTACAGGCATCATGGGAATTTGCAAAAGGTAGTCTATGAAGGTAATCAGACTCCCATGGAGCCAAGATAGCTTGTCTTTTCATATTTCAGCAACAGACTCAAACTACAGTAACCTTTTAGAAAAATTCAAAGAAAGGGGTTTTAAGCATTGTTGCTTCCTGCATATACTCTGGCTCTTTCTTCCATCACTGAGAAACAGAGAAGAAGGTGGAGAGTGAGGAGAATTGGTGGGAATCTAAGATACTGGAATTTCAATAGCAAATATATAAAGAGAAAAAGCAGCAGCAAAGATGAGCCACTGCAGGACTTTGTCTTAGTCATCTTTATATCCCCCATGGCACCTTAGCACAATGCACTGCACACAGGGGGGCAGTCGATAAATAATGTATTGGGTTTAATTCAATTCACTCACATTTGTACTGTGCTTAGCAGTTACAAAACAGTTTCCACATATTAGAAAAGAAAAGCAAAGTAAATGAGGAATAAAGGGGCAAGTAAGGGAATAAAATGAAAGCAAAATAAAGAAAAATCCACAAGAATAAGCAAGCGGCCAAAAAGGCTGGGGAAAAGAATGAGCAAAAAAATTCAGTTTCTCCCTGTCACTCTCAATCCCTTCCAATCACCTCACCTCTCATTCTAAATTATCTGGAGCTTAGAAAGTCTGACTGTTAAGTAAGCCCAAGAAGGGGCTCCTTCATCGTAGGAACGGGCATTTTCAGCGATAATAAGCCTTTGGTCCCTGACTGATCTACCTAGAGTTTGCTCAGGTATGACCTCGAGCAAAACGCTAACATTTCCCAAGTGTGGCCACGGATTCTTTATTCCATTCCATCCCATCTATCCCCTCTTCAATTCCCAAAATCTTAGGGAAGAGTTGGGCCTGGGAATCCAAGGGGTTGGTGGGTGGGGGAGTCCTCTACAAGCCCCTTAACTCAGACAACAGAGGGAGGTAGTGAGACAGGAAAGCCCAGGGATTAGAGAAAAAGCTCACGTTTGCGATTAGGAGGGCGATTGTCTATAACTGTGGTTATTATCAATCGCCAGGGGCAAAAAGGGGGGAACCTTCAAGATGGAAGAAATGTGAAGGTACCTGAATGCGCATCACCTTACACCTGGCGTTGAGCCCTTAATAAAAAGCCGTGAGGTCCAAAACCTCGACTGGCTTGAAAGGGAGAAAACAGGGAAGGGAAAGGATGTGAGGGGATGCGCTGGAGGCAGCCCACAGATACCAGCAAGGATGCTGTCCCAGGGGAAGCATGATGTCCTCACCCCCAAAGTAGCACGTACCCCCGCCCTGGGCATCCTCAGCCAAACCTGGGTGTGGGGGGATGCCAGGCTCCAAATGGGGGCGGCCGAGTCCTGACCCCATTATGCGGGCTAAAAGTTGCTTGGGAGAGTTGGCGCTGGGGAAGGCGGCTGGCAAGGGCGGCCGCCGAGGGGGCGTCAGCTTTCCCAGGAACAAAGGGGCCAGGGAAGGCGACCAGGGGAGCAGGTCCTGGGGGAGTCCACCCTGAGCTAGGAGATAAGGGTCGCCACGTCCTCCTGGCCCAGGGGCAGTAAGGGGAGCGGGGAGTACGCAAGATGTGCCGGTATTCCGCCTCCTGACTTCCTGCCTCCAACCGGGTGGCGCCCGCTGCCCTCTAGCTCTCTGGCCGCTCCGCGCCCCTCTAGCTGGAGACAAAAGGAGACCGGGGACCCCAGGCCCCTGCCAGTCCTGGAGGACCCCCGCCCCGACGCGTACGACGTACGCCAGTGGAAGCCGCGGTGGCGGGCTCTGGCGCGACGGGCGCCCCCTCCTAACCTCGCACTGGTGCCCCGCGCCCCAGTGCCGCCTCACCCTCCCCGCAGCGGGCATTACCTTTCATCCAGTCCACTACTTGACTCGGAGACCATTTGCTCACGGGCTCCATTATCAGAGCCATGGGTACGGGGTCGGTTCCGTGCAGAGCGCGGAGCTCAGACACAAAACGAACTCAGCAGTCCGAACCGCTCTCAGGTGGGGTCCCTTGCTGACCGCAGCCTCTCTGGGCGGGCGGCGCGTTGAAAGCGGCTTTTGTGTGTCGGGTCTCGCGGCTGTAATGTCTCTTAGCCAACCGCTGGCAGGAACGGCGACGGGGAGGGAAACGTGCAGGAGTCGTGGCTCCGCGCCGGGTCTGCTCAGTTCCCGCTAAGGCGGCGGCGGCTGCTGCTGCTGCTGCTGCCTCCGCCGCTCCGCTCGGGTCTCCGTCCCTAGGGAGCTTCAGTTCATGGCTTGAGCTGCTGAGGGGGTCGCGTCACCGAGGGAAGCAGCCTCTGCCGCACGCCCTCAGCCAACTTGCCCGCTCGCCTCACGCGCGGGAGTGAAGCCCCCAGCACGACTAGCTGCCCGGCGGAAATGACGAGGGGCCTCCTGCCACCCAAAATATCTCTCCGCAGCCCTCGGGTGCGGGGCGCGCGCGCCACGAGCCCCCCGCCCGCTCGCTGCCGCGCGGTCCCGCCCCCAGGGCCGACGGCAGGCGCGCGAGGCGCGTGCGCGTGCCAGCACGAGGCCGAAGCCCAGGGTCTGTCTGGCAGGCAGACAGGTGCCAGCAGCTCGCAGCCTGGCGTTCCCGCTTTGGGGCCGTCCGGGAACAGAGGCGCGCGAGGTGCGCGTGCGCGGCAGCGGAGGCGGTGGCGGCGCGAGGCAGAGCCAGAGCCCGGGGTCAGTCAATCAGGTGCGGGCGGCTGGAGTATGGCTTTGTGAGGCCTCTGAGGGGACCCGGCGGTGGCGGCCACGGCGAGACGGGCCGCCCACCAGTTGAACTCCGACAGCTGAGGCGGCTGAGGAGGTATCCGCGGCCCCACCACCGAGGGGAGGGGGACACCACTGAGTGCGGGGGTTACAGGGAGAGCCCGGGCTTTCCTGGCTCTCGCTTTCACCCTCGGCCTCCCGGCTGCTGAGGGGTCTCCTGAGGTGATTCCCGAGACCCGCGTACGCCTGCAGAGACGAAGGTGTGGACTGCCGTGGACGAGAACGAGGCTCCGCCTGCCAGAAGCGCAGCGATGATGAGGCAGGAGGGCTAGTGCTGTCGGGTCTTCCCCGGGTGATGAGCGGGTCCTGGGAAGTCAGGCGTTGAGGCTGTTACCTGCCAGCTGCTGGTTGTGGGATCCTGAGACAGGTTCTGCCCTATGTACCATTTTAAAAGGCTCTTTTTCAGGTTTTCGGCCAACTCCTCTAAAGTACCTATTTTAGAGGATGTCATTTTGTGTTCGATATTCTTATATATTAATAAGAACCAAAGGGCAACAATGGGATTTAAAATGTGTGACAAATTTAAACATTATTTTTCAAAACTCATTTTCTTCAAAAACCATACACAGGCTACTATGCAACCGTTAGTAAAATACAGTTTGCCTAATGAGGTTTCACTTTAAAAGGCAAATATTCCTAGAGTGTAGATGCAAACTCTCTACCACCACCGTTTTAGGCGTTTTCTCTGTATCATTCTTAAATAGGTCCATTAAGTAAAAGGGAAACTTTTTAAATAAGCATTCCAGTAATGTCAATAGGTTTTGCCAGTTACTGTGGTAACCCACTTTCTCTAGTCCAATTTTATAAGATGCAGAAATGCCACGTTCTTTAACTGGCGTGAGTTGATGACAACCCCCCCCACACACACACACACAAACAGCTAAAACCACAGTAGTTAAAATATTGTGACGTTTTTAACTGCTGATTTCAATGCTAGTGATAGAGAACAAGTAAAATTTAAGATGGCCTGTATTTAGGCTTCTTTGTTTTTCTAACTATCCAAACTTAGAAGTATATGCAGAATTTTGGAAAGACATTTAGAAAATTATCTAGACAAGCCTACACTCAGAGGACACAGATACAACACCTTACTTTCACAATCCAGATCGTGGTTGTGACTTACAGTTTTTTCTTGGCTGACCAGGTGTGAAAGGTATTGTAGTTTGGAGTGCTTACATTCCAATAGAGTCTAAAAACATTACATCAATGTTTCTAGAAAAGACCGTTTTCAGTGTCAGTAATTGAAGGAGTAGCTTTATATATATAGGATACATTGTGACGCTGCAGTCACAGGGAGATGTTAAAAGTAATTTTTTATCAAAATAATACTGCTAATAATAACAATGAATATTTATTGAGGATGGTGCTAAGTACCTTACATATGTTTTATCCTCCAGAACAGCTCATCATTAGCCACATTTTACAGATAAGAAAACCCTACCTATCACATTCACTTCCTATCTGCAAACCTATTACACATAATTCAATAAATGTTGGATAAATTAATGAATAAGGCTTAAAAAGGGAAAGTAATTTGTCTGCCATGTTGCACCAAGTTAAGGTGATTCCAGAATGTGAACTTTTAAAACTAGTAAAAAGAGTTGTATCAGTGTCACAAAACGAACAGTATGAGTGATGGAAAGCCCATTGTGTTAACAGAATATGTCTCATCAGAAGTAACTACAAAGAAATGTGAGAGTCACCCTGAGTGTTCCTAACCAGAACCTAAACAGCAACTCTGAGAACAGCAACTCTGTAGAAAATGACTAAATTTGACTGACACACCAAACGGCACCTTGAGACTGGGCTTGCAGGACAAGCAACCATACTGTGCAAGCAGGTCCAAAGTGAGATGTTGCTTGCTTAATGAGTGGAATATCAAAACAAATGTCAAAGACCAGGATACAGTAAAAATAAAATAGATGTGTATTTCATGAAAAGACCAGTGCCAAAGAAGATGGGAAAACAAGATCCCCGAGAAAGATTTTGAGGCAGACCCTAGGTCAGAATTCAGTCATATATATTCTCCTCTTATTTATGTTAAAGTAAGGAATTCATTTGGTCTAATCACCTAAGATTATTTAAAAAATAAATCTAAGAACTAATAACGACTGAAACAAAATGTAGGTGTGGAGTTATACTATCTAGTAGATTTTACCAAGGCCTTAAATATTTGCCCTAATTCCTTCTCCCTGAGGTTTCCCCTACAAAACATAGCATTTGCCTTTGATTTTGACAATACAATGGGCATTAATTACTTCATTTAATTTGTTCAGAACATAAGTGGCTTTTTACTTCAAATATTCTTGATTTGTGGGAAAGAAAAATAAACGGATTAAGTCTTCATTGACTTCACTCTTTTATTCTTAACTACAAATGACTCAGCTAAAACTTTCTTGCATTTTTCCTTTCACAACTTTTCAAATAAACTAGGTTTTATTTTATTTTTTTTTGCTTGTTAGTCAAAATGTTAACGCCTCGCTCCATTTTTGTAAGTGTAGTGTAATGTGATTACATACAGACTTTAGCAGCTTAATTTTGCCTTCTCCTAATGCAAAATACAGTCTCAAAGATTAGGTGAAAGTGTATTGTCATAAAATACATACTAAAACATAATGCAGTAAATAGTATGATGTCACACTTCAATAGTCTAGACATAAAAGCAAAACTGATCTTTGGAAGCAGCCTTAGATTCTTTTTGGAAGCAGAGTATAAATATTAAATTAATTGGAAACGTAACTTGTGAGATATTTGCACCCATATCAAAATGAATCACTTTAAATGATCTTTTTATTTTAAAAATAATCTCGAGTCAATTTATGGCACTAGTTGTTATAGTTTGGTCTTTTCTAATCTTCTCCCTCTAGATTTCACCAAAAAAACTCTCTTGACCAAAATATTCTCTTAAGATTTTATAGTAAAAGAAGTGATTCTAATTGACTTCAGATATGGAATTTACAAATGGTTTCCTAAGTAGAAGCTGGGTGCTCAAAGGATCTGACTTTCAGAGGTTAGGTCAGATAGGGAGGGAGCATTCCACTGGAAGAAAGACCTTCAAGCCTTTGTCCCTTTGTGGCCAAAGTAAGGAGTAAAAAATAGGAATGTTTCTTCTTGAGCTGCAAGCTTAGTATCTCTGACCCCTACGTTGTCCAACCTAGGCTATCTTATAGGGGCCATAATCTTCACTTAGTGTTTTTTTCCTGCTAAAATGCTTGCTCTGCATCAGACCTCAGACTTGTCATATAAGACATATTTTAATGTTTTTAGTTACTTAACATTTATACAAAATGTCTTGCAGAGTCGTTTTGGTAATTTTCCCAGTTCACTTAGATTTAGTATTTTTTGCTATAGCTGTCTGATTTTTAGAATTCTTGCCATTTTAATGAGTAATATTTTATCAAACTATTTTCTCCCTTTTATCTGTTGTCTTTTAATGGGTAGTGAGAAGTGACAACACAGAACAGCTGTGAGGGTAGTCCATTATCTAAACTAGAGGAAAGGATAGGAGCCCCTTTTTTCCACTTATTTTTGCCCAGATCTTTCCTATAATTTCAAAAACTGGTGTTCTATGCTTGCCCAAACTATACCCCTTGATCAGGAAAAATTAGGCATTTCTGGTAAGACTAGTTAGCAAAACACATTATTCCCAAGAACAATATGTAAAACTTGCTCCAGGGAAATCTCAGCAAAATTTCTGAAACAATTTCTTTGCAGTGTAATCCAACTAACAGCTATGAATTAAGTACCAAAGCCTCTAATATACCCAACCACTTGATAGCAATCTGTCTAAGCTTCCAATCATCAGCGACACAAGTAGAGAGAGGCCTTAACTGTAAATGGGCCTTCAGTGCACTGCTCTGGGCCAAATCTCCCTCTAGATTAACAGGGAGAAGCACCCAGAGAGGATAATTAAATTAGGAGAATCCTTTCTTTGCTGTTCTGCCTCTAGGGTAAACTGTATTAAATTCAGTCATGTCCTTTCTTGACCAACATATACAGCAATACTCCCTGGGTGAAGAGAAATTGGCTTGAGTTGAGGTTATCCCAATAGGGTTTTATAGGGCTCTTTCCAGGGCCCCTCCCTGCTGCATTAATCACAGTCTGATAAAAATCCCAGAGCCCACCAAGATTAGGAAACCTAGTTTTCTTAACACATAAAGTCCTAGCCCACCAGGGAAGTTTTCAGTGCACTTGTCAGCCATAAATGATAGGCATATAAACTCGTTATTCAACAAACATTTCTTTGCCACAATGTGCTGCTCAAGTTGTATCCTTTGATCAGAAAAATTAGCTTGATTTTGTGGATTCAAAGATGACCAAGATTTTCATAGACTGGTAGCAGAAACAGAAACGTGTAGTTGATTTAATAGGATAATGTGATAAATGCAATGATAGATGTGTCCAGTGATATGTGAAGAGAAGTACCTAACAGCTGGGAGGAAGACTATATGGAAAGGATAATGCCTGGTTTAGATTTTAAAGGACGACAGCCAGGCAATAATGCAGAAGCAAGCTTATAGGCAGAAGGACAGTGCAATCAAAGTTATAGAGCACCATGTATAGGTACCTGGATTACTGGCATTAAAAACCAAAGCAAGAGGTGACAGGAAAGGAGGTGGGAGGGATAGGCAACCACCAGATTATGGAAAAATCAAACTGTCCAAGATAGAGCCGTCTAAGGATTTTAAGAAATGGAGTGACTTGGTCATATTTATATATTTGTGTTTTA